GGTGATGATCTCGTGATATACAGTCAAAACGAAAACGATCATGTGAAGCATGTAGAAGCCGTGCTGCGACGCATCGAAGAGTTTGGACTGCGCATTAACAAAACCAAGTCCCAGATAGCCAGAAAGAATGTTACTCTGTTAGGACATAAAGTAGGAAATGGTGAGATTAAACCACTACCGGAGAAAATTTTGACGATTAAAACAATTCCAGCCCCGAATTCAAAGAGGAAATTGAGGCAATTCTTGGGTAGAGCGGCGTTTTATAGTCGATTCGTGAAGAACTTCAATGAGATAGCAGCCCCTCTATACAGGCTACTAGGTGAGCCGAAGTTTGTTTGGTCGGAAGAATCGCAGAGGACATTTGACAGAATTAAACACCTGTTCGACCACCAACAAATGACGCTAAAACTACCTGTACCTGGAAGACAGTTTACAGTGTGCACAGATGCCAGTGACTACGCCATAGGTGCGGTCCTAAGACAAGGTGATGGAATCGTTGAGTATGCCAGTCGGGTTTTAACACTCACAGAGAGAAAGTATTCAACGATAGAGAAAGAATGTTTAGCAATGGTATGGGCAGTCGACAAATGGCGACCTTATTTACTCGGCCGGCGGTTCCACATCGAAACTGATCATAAGCCGCTACAATTTTTGAAGACAGCGAGAGACCCACGGGGGAAATTGTCACGGTGGATGTTGCGTCTTCAGGAGTACGATTTTACGATCTCACACGTTCCTGGAAGTGAAAATGTCTTGGCAGATTTGTTATCGAGACCAGAAGACGAGCCTGAGTTGCCCGAGGTCGCTTACGGAGTGCATGCTGTAGAACAAGACCCACTAAAACTTGCACGCAAGCAAAGGTTGGATGATACGCTGAATACAGTGATACAGGTGATAACCAACGGGATAGAAGTAGATCAAGCTACGGCGAGTAAGGAGCTAACCACACTACTCAGACAGAGAGATCGACTAAGAGTGAATGCCTACGGGACTCTGACCTGGCGAGAGAACGACGGAAGCTGGCTGGCTATCATACCTCAGTCCTCGCGCCACGACATGATAGAAGAATGTCACCAGCTAGCACATACAGGCGTGGCCAGAACAACTGACCTCCTAAGACAAAGCATGTACTGGCCAGGTATGAGAGAAGACGTAGCAAGATACGTACTTGGATGTCCACGGTGCCAGCTAATGAAAGGCGACCGGTGCATACGACCACCGCTTCAGTCGATTCCAGTTACGGCGATAGGTGACTTGTGGTCCGTAGATGTCATGGGTCCATTTCCTCAGACATCTAATGGTAATCAGTACCTCCTGGTGATGACGGAACACGCGACACGATGGGTAGACGCCGTAGCGATCCCAGATCAACGTGCAAAGACCGTGACAGACGCAGTAGTTAAACACATCGTTGCAGACCACGGCGTACCAAAGACGATACTGACAGACCAAGGTCCCTGTTTCGAGAGTGAAGAATTTACTTCCCGTTTGCAACAGCTGGGCATCAAGAGGATCAGAACGACCCCATATCATCCACAGACGAATGGCCTAACGGAGAGAAACAACCGTACACTGAAGGAGTGGCTGGCCTCGAAGGGCGGTAACTGGGAAACGGAGCTTCCACTGATTTTACTGACGCATCGGGCTACCACTCAGGAAACAACGAAGAAGTCACCCTTTCAACTGATGTATGGTAGAAAACCACGATTACCGATACACAACGAGACCTGGCCCCTTCACCAAAAGTGGAGTACGACGAAATTAAAAGCAGAGCGGAAAGAGGCCGTCAAGAATGTAATACGGAAGCAGCGGAGTGATGTCGCGAAGTCTCAGATGAAAGAAAAGACGCGGTGCATCACCTTTGCAGTCGGGGACCAAGTGAAGTGTAGAGACAGGAGATATACAGTTGGAGGCGGGCCAGGTTCACGGAAACTCCTGCCAAAGTGGGAAGGACCATACACAATCACAAAAAGACGGGGTCAAGTATATACCGTCCGAAGAGGTGACAAACAGAAACGAGTTAATGCCAGTCAGCTCCAACGATGGGTACAGTGGGACAAGCCGATCAGCAACAATCCTCAACTAGAGGATGTAGCACCAAGAAGGTCGGAACGCCTGCGTACGAAGCTATTTGACGGGGGGACGAGTGTGGTGAGAGCAAGCTGCTAGCCAATTGGTAGACATTGATCTACGCTGATTGGTAGAAATTAATCTAGGCTGATTCAACAACCAATCACAGCTGACCTAAACGTGGACAAATATGATTCGCAGACAAGTGGCTCGCATTTCCGAAAAATATCGAAAACGAGAAAGCAGAAGACTGCGTTTGTTTGCAAACAACCAATCAGAAGACCGCCTTCTTTCTGCGGGCAGAAGCCTTATTAATGTACGTAAAATACATATAAATACCTGTTGGTTTTCGTAATAAAACTGATCTGTTGCCAGCCTTGTCTTCTGTTGTTACAAGTATAGTGTGTTTCAGCAGTTAGTAATTATCACATGTTTGATAAACCCGTTTATTGTTATTGTTGTTGTTATTTCCACTCAATTAACAAGAACAAATGTACTCTTATCCTCAGAAGGCCCACTATTCAGCAGCCCAAGCTGAATTGGGAGAAACAGGACTCGAACCCATGGCTGTTGACTGGGAACTGATCGATAAATCTAATACACCAATTTGTTATAGTATACACTCAAGGCAAACATAAAAGCTGTAGTGCACATGGAATTTCATTAGAAGTTTGAGTTTTAATACTGAGCACTCCTCACTCAATGGTTTGATTGCGACCGAAATTTCATATTGTCTATATTTAGAAGTCATATTTTGAAATCAATACGTTAAATAAAGTGCAATCCTAGGCAGTATATATTAAGTTAATCCAGTTTAGATTTTCTCGTCGATTGATTAGACCAAAGTGCTCGGTATCAGGTTGACATATCGGCTCCTTGAGAAGATGCTTCGATGCTGAATAACTCCTTCGTGTTAGAAACTATGAGCACTGGGTTCGAGCCTCGGAGGGAACACCATCACTCTCTGGGGAATGTAGGTACATCCAGATGATTAGTCCCAAATAGGACGAAATGCACATCGTGGATTCCACTGCTAGCCACCATCCATCAATTGACTTCAAGTATACATTAATACTGATACATATTGACTGTTTAGAATTCGAATGCAAGCGTCAGGAAGATAATTATGGCTAAGCACAAAGGTGACTGTTAGATAGCATACAACAATTGGCAGGAAGCCTTGGACCTAAATTTCCTACTTCCTGGCACTCTTCAGCCAAGCGTATCTACACTTTTGAAGGAACTATTGTCATCTCTGAAATTCGAAATTCAGGACCATAACAACGGTTACCTGCCTTCAACCGGGTCACATCGATTCAGAGAGCACCAAGGTGATGAATCGCCTAGCTTGGTGACCACACTGTAAACTTGACTGATAGAATTCAGTCTGGATGTAGTCCTAAATCTACCGGAACTACATTGTAGACATCAACTTACAAATGAGACATAAATTTCAGATCTAATGATAGTTTCTAATCCTCCAAAGTCGAGATGGTTACTTTTTGGATCAAAACTAAATTCCCAAACAAACAAAAAGTTTTCCTAATTACTCAAGACGGTTAGAAGCCCAGCGAATAAATAACACTATTCACAGTCGGATAACTGATTGCTTACAAAGCTACTTCCTGAGGAATAAAAATCCTGAAAATTAGAACAAAGTGACGCATCAGCATAGTGGATAATACTTTGACTCATGAACAGATGAATGTCGCTTTTGAGACGAACTGTGCGTCTTGGAGACTCCACCGGTAGCCGCCATTAATCAAGCAACATAAAACGAAGTGGTTTACCCTTCTGAAATCAGTCATCCACCACCACTTTTAACTGTTACATTCAGCTCTGCAGCAATTACAAACTAACTACCTAACTGTCTTTTCAGCGTAGAGCTTTACGAATTGATCACGGATTGTTATCAGTTAGAGAACCATTGAAAACCAGCACCGGAGTACTGGACAGCTGTTTCATCCTAGTTTGGGAATCATCGGCAGCACGCACCCACTGGGGTTTGAACCCAGAACCTTCCGGTTATAAAGAGTGGCTGCATCTGCGTCATGGTGAACCATTTTGATCCATGTCACTAGCAGTTTCAAGCCATCGGTTCTCAGCCTCTCGACGAACCCAGCCACCTCACTACTTAGCTTAAAATAGACAGTCAAAGGTTTCATGGATTTATGTCAGGTTTTTATTTGACCACCCTTAACCCTATGTCAGCTAACTATGCTCGACGATGAAGGCGACGACTTAGGATGCGTAACACACGTAGCAGTCATCTCAGTCGAGTGGCTTACCTTTCTTGCCTAATACTACACACCGAACCTCAATATTACTCACCATATTATGCCACTTAACATGGGAGATAGAACTCGATCAAAGACTGCTAACTTCTTCGAAACCTCGCACTTTGAAAGACAATTCTCACAACCATAAAGAAGAACATAGAGAAATGTTGCGCAGTACACAAATCTTACAATTATAACCGACTAACCATTCAATAGAGGTAAACGAAATAACTGAAACGAATAGTTGGAAAACATTCAATGCAATCCAGAACCTCAAGTGATTTAAACTGCACACGAGGCTCTTGCACATTAGATATTGCGATTTGAATATAATTTAGGAATCTAAAGCAAATCAGCGATTAAATTTTACCTCAAAATTTCCACTTCGTCAATAGTCAGTAGCCTTCTAAGCAAAAATCGGATGATATAAATATCAGTCTACAGTGCTTAAGATTAAAAAGTAGTCCTATCCTAGTGGAACGGTCCAAGAGAATCATTGAAGAACTCTCTCTATGTGCTGAATTTACCTAAGTATGAAGAACCATTGTCACTAACTGGAAATAGTTCTTTGTGGACAAACATATAATGAAGTAAGAAGTCACACTCATCCCCAAACTACTTTTGTGATATTCAATTCTCATGTATACTTACCTCAATAGCAGCTAGTATTCTTAATAAATTCGATACACCAGGACGTTCTACAATATCATAACTAATTCCTCGGATACTGTCAGTTTCAGCACGTTTAATCTTTTTACGAATAGCATCTGGAGAGTCTGTAAGATAGACAATCCCAAATTCTGATGTATCTGATTTACTCATCTTCTTAGTTGGATTTCTTAAATCGGTTATCTGGTTTTAAAAATTGGCAAAATAACAATAAAAACACGTGAAAAGAATGAAATGATAGTCGAAGATAACAATCATGAAGTAAACACGCATTAACTTGAATGTTTCAGTTTCAAAATAAGAACAAACAGTTCACCGGAGAAAGGGGGTGATTTTCCGCGAATTCATTCACCGCCTAACCATACAACAATCGGAAATATACGCATACTGGTTGGATGCAATCGGCAGGAAGCTCTACTTGATCTAGGCCTTGTGCTTGTTGGCGCTCACCAGTCAACAAGGCGCAACTCCAACTTTGAAGAAAGTCATGTCCCCTCTGGGATTTGAACCCGCATCACCCAGTGTTACAGTTAGAGACGTTAACAGTGAGATATTCGGGCATACAATTGACGAATAAAAGGTATTTGGATAGAGAATCCTGATTTATGCATACACAAAGAAACTTCTAAACATCCTCTTTCTACATTGGATAAAATCCTTTTAGTATGACACTTATAAATATCAATTTACCAGTTGCATAACATGTTTTGGTAATTACCTCTATGTTGTTTTATTACCACTCAATTTTTCTGAACTTTTATTTTGCGTTACTAAGCCGCATCGTCCTGGAGAGAATCAAACACGCCCCGGATGAGAAACTTCGACCGGAACAGGCTGGATTCAAGAGGAACAAGTCATGCATTGATCAAATCGCAAAACTGCGTATCATCATTGAACAGAGCTTGGAATCGAAGTCAGCTCTCTACCTCAACTTCATCGACTTTGAAAAGGCCTTCGACAGCGTCGATCAAGAAGTGATTTGGCCACTACTTCGCTACTACGTGGTGCCGCCGACAATTATACATCTCATCCAACAGTTGAACGATATTGCTGCATGCCAAGTAATCCACAAAGGGAAACTCACAGAACACTTCGAAGTGAAGACGGGAGTAAGACAAACTGGCTGTCTACTATCTCCAATGATTTTCCTGATTGTGGTAGACTGGATAATGCGACAGACAGCAGGGCGGGCAACGAGGAGACAGGCATAAAATGGACCCAAACAAAAACTTGGAGGATCTGGACTTCACCGATGATATATGTCTGATTTCCAACAAACTGGAAGATATGCAAGTGAAAAGCGACAAGTTGGTAGAAGAAGCATACAGAGAAGATAGGACTTCAGGTGAACATAGAGAAAACAGATGTGGTGATGAACATTCCTGGCCAAAAGCAACAGAGAACAATCAGCCTAAATGGGAGGAGTTTGAAAGAAGCAACCTCCTTTAACTACCTAGGAAGCATCGTTTCAACTACAGGAGGACGGAACTAACGAGGACATCAAAGCGAGGATCGGGAAAGTAAGGCAAGTAAGCTTTCATTACTCTCAAGTCTGTGTGGAGATCAACAATCAGCTCTTAGCATAAAAAATAAGATCCGGATTTTCAACTCCACTGTGAAGTCAGTGCTACTTAATACACGGATTGGAGACTTGGCGCGTCAAGAAGGGCACTTTGAACTACTAGTACAGACCTTCATCAACAGCTGTCTTCGCTCAATACTAATCAAGATCAGATGGCCGGCCAGAAAAGATCAGAAACAAGGATCTCTGACAATGAGCGAACCAACCCAGCAGGAACCAATTGTGCAACAAATATGCAGGAAGAAATGGAGGTGGATTAGCCGCCATACTCTGAGAAAAATTATTACATACACTTTTATGATTCTACAGCTACATGAGTAAATTCACCGACAGGAGTCTCTTTGCTGAACAGTTTGCCTGAATGCGTCTTTTCCTCGCCTGTTTCAAATGTCGGTTCCCTTAGTCATATTATGAGACAGTACAATCGGTAATGAACCATATCGATTATGTGAAAAACCAATGACATAGTGAAGAAATGCGCGTCCTGGGATTCACAAATATAAATCTATTAGGGAGTACGTTAGACAGGAAGCGTAAGACAGGGATCATTATTCAGGCTTCAGTTACCACCGGCTGGGAATCCCGCTTCACCACTTACTGCCATACATGGATAAACTGATAAGATTAAATATGCTTTTACTCAGAATATGCGCAGCTCATATTGTGTTTTACTTGTGATTCCATGTATAATAGGCAATAAAACAAATCAAGTATGTTACATACTTGAGGAATATGTGTATATCAATTAACATTCCCTTATTACTTTCTAATTACACGTAAAAACCAATTATACAAGATTCTTAAATATACATTACTTGATTTAGTGAATGGTGATTATTGTAGGTGAAATGAATATCTGAGTCACAGTAGGATTCGAATTAGTGGCCTCTGAACTACCAACCAGCCCAGTTTGACTTTGCTCTACCAAGTGAGCTACCAGACCCCATTGCTAACTAGATCGCTATGTTACTGCAGTCAACACGGGTCATGTCCAGTTGTCATGGGAATGGATGAATGATACATTAGTTATCCTGCTAGTTCTCCTGTCATATTAGTTGTTGAGTATGCGTGAGGAATGGAGTTGTAAAGCATGACTGTTGAGGAGTACGTTAATGCAGAGGACTAGCCGCAGCCTGACATAACAAGTACAATTGTGGTGAGAGCTGTCTGCTAACCAAAATTGGTAGACAGCAATTTATGTCAATGTTTACGTCCCAAATCTTGGTCATGAGAAAAAAACAAGAACAAAGACTAACTCAACAACCAATCACAGCAGACTTAGCGTGTGCAGATACGATTCGCAGATATATCTCCTGACCTTCTAAGAAACGGCCACGAAGAGATGACAGAATAACCTTCAGCAAGAAAACAACCAATCACAAGACGTTGCTTTTCTGATAACAATAACGAATAATAATGTACATAAAAATCTATAAATATCTCTTGATTTTCTCAATAAACGATCTGTTGCCTGACCCTCATCCTCTGTCGTTACACGATAATGAGTGCAAATCAGGTAGGAATAAAACTATAAATCGCTTATTTACACACAAACACACACAGAGGTTAGTCAGTCTTTGAATTTACGTATAACATTAGCACTATAGTAGATATGTTCATTGAAAGTCGCAAATTTCCATAGACCTACAATGATCAGTTTCTGTTAGCATAAGGCTTTCTAAAATAGGGACCAATAATTTCGTTCCAGAGAAAATAAACAATGAGAAATCTACGTGTTTCAACAAATAACAACTGGTACCGTTTGTACAGCGGGTGGGGCTCTCGTAAATCAATAATGTTCAGAGGATAACACCTTGGCATTTGAAACGAAGAATGTTCGGTTCCAATCTCAGTGAAAGTATCACCATTTTAGGCACATCCACCATTTGAAGAGTCTTCAGTATGAAAAAATGGGCGTCCTAGAATTCACTGCCAGTATTCACCTATCATTCACCTAACATAAGTGAAATATTCCTATGAGATGGCTGGAGGCAATCGGAAGGAAGCTATCGACCTAGGTTTCGTGCTTGTTGGCACCCGTCAGCGACCAATCATCCAACCAAAGTATTCAATACAGTCATACAGGAGGTCAATCACGAGCCCGAATAGCTCAGTGGTAACGTCTCTAATTGTAATACGAGGTTCAAATCTCAGGAGGGACATGAGTTCCTTCATGATTGTAGATACGCTTTGACGACGAGCTCCAATAAGCACGAACCCTAGGTCAAGTAAGGCTTCCTTCCGATTGCCTCCAACCAACTAAGAACAACAATTTAAAGCACACTCTGATGGCGAATCACCTAGCATGGTGGCCACATTGCAAACTTGACTGATAGAAATCAGTCTGCACCAAACAAAGGACTAGACGCGTAACACTAGTTAGTGTCCAATCGAAATCACTGAGATAGTCAGAAATACATCTATAGATTAGAGCAGGTTAAACAGCTCAATACACATGTAATGTGACGGCTAGTAATGCTAAATGGCAGCTTGAACCTAGCTAGATAGGGCAGAGAATTGAATCTGTAACCCGGTGGTTGAAATTCAAATGCATAAGTCAGTAAACCAGAAAACTGAACAATACAAAATTGTTACGCAACTCACTTTCGGTGTCTCGAAAATAAGACTATCTGGAATTTGTAGAATAGAAGATAAGGAAGGCCATTTTTGTACAGCTGATCGAACCAAGTCACGTGCCAATTCAATATGAGTTATCTGATCAATACCAACTGGAACAACATTTGCTCCATAAAGAAGTATATCGGCGGCTTGTAAAACAGGATATGTAAATAAACCGACAGAGACAGTATCACACACGTCAGTTATTTGTCGATCATCAGTCACCGGAACATTGGATGCTGTGTTATAGTAACCAGACTTTTCTCTCCATTGAGGTAAATGAGCTAATCTCTAGTTAGGGAAAAAAAGAAACCATGGTGAAAACTTGTTATTTCGGTATATCTTCTGACTTATTTAGACATTAGCTGATATCGAAGGAAAAATAACTGAAAATATGAAGCTCAGGGGGCAGATTCTTCACTTTTGAAGACCTTGTTTTACAGCTGTACTTAGCTGAAAGCCACTCCATATGAACATCTCACACGATGGTCTATGAAGGCTCTAATGTAACTGCAAATGACTGACTGGCAGAATTTTAACATAAAAGTTTCGAAACAAGTGAGGCAGTTCAAGATGCCACACTCCATGTAGCACATAAGGGTAGAGAAAGAGAAAAAAAGATTGAAGAATAATAATTATTATTATAAGCAGAAGGATAAGAACATGTGAAACCATAGCCGTTTAGTGAATATAGGAGATCACGGAGGGTTAGTGCATCTGCGGCACTGAGAACGATTATGAGCCACATCGACTACAGTCTCTGGTTTCAACTAACAAGTCTACACCCGCTTCTACATGGCTCAAGCCAACTATCAAAGGCTTCATGAACTGATGCCGGGTTTCCGTTTGACCATTCCAAACCCTATTCCAACTTAATCCGATGTCGGTTGACATTGAATGTCCTGGAAGATGTGATGGCTCAGTATGTGTAACACGTGTCCTAGCCATCCCAGTCGACGTAACTACGAATATTCGAATACTGATCCTTTAGTAGGTACATACTGTATAGTTACAGTATTATTGTGGCGCGTCTTACTGACAAGATTTATCAGTAGTACTTACAGAGACATTCATCGGTACAAAAACACCCAATAGGGAAGAGATAGATTTGACGTCAAAGAGAGGAAATGAATCAGTATTGTAGCTAAATATGGGAGACGTGAAAAAGGAAGACAAAGAAATACAATATGAAGGGCAGAAGTAACGCAGCACGAAAGATCTATGTCAATGACGATTTTCATATAAGGTGCGCATAATTTCCCAATATATGTACATCGAATTGCGAATAAGCATTCCGTTGCCAAGTCTCTTGTCTACTCCTGTTACGGTATGACTGTTAAACGAACAGCGTGAAATGCTGCTTACCCTACAGCAATTATTAGTTCAAGTACACAGATCAGAACCATCCAATCAGCATCGATCGACTAGGTTAACTGACTGGTTTTAAAATAGAACTTTGCACAGATGTGTATCATTTCGAGTTGATACACACCATGTAGCATACAAAGCGAAAGAGAGTAAAGAGAAAGATTCAAAATAGAAATAATAGACAGAAATATGAGGCAAAAAGAATATCAATATGGAAGAACAATAAAATTCTATTGGATATTATAAACCACGAGGAGTGAATGCATCTGCGCCATTGACAACGATCACTTTGAGCCATATCACCAATTGCCTCCACCCATTGGTTTTTGCCATCCCGAGGACCCTCACCAGTCAACCAGTCTATACGTCCCTATATGGCTTAAGCTGACTGCTGTGGACTTCATTAAATGATGCCATGCTTTAGTTTGACCACCAATGGCTCTTTTCCAACCTGATCCTATGTCAGCGAACACTGACCATCGAGGAAGGCGATGGCTAGACATACGTAAAACATATCCTAACCATCTCAATTGGTGTAATTTTACAGCCTCGTCGGCTGATTTCCACTCCTTACCTAGCACTCGACCGAAGCCTAACCTCATTATTGCTCACCCTATATTACCACTTAACACGAGAGATAGAACGCAGACACCTACGATCAAAGACACCTGGCTGGCCTTTTCATGTCTTCCACTTTCAATGGCTGTCTTAGGAGGATGGAACGAACTGCTAAGCAGTACACACGCCCTTTGGTTGATAGCCGGATATCTACTAAGTCAGAGATGGGGTAAGTTGGCATATGCCAAAAGAGCCTTCGGTAGCCATGCTGAGATTTCGTCAACAATCAACCTGTTGGCTTTGGCTGATTCAACTTCCCAAATAAGTGAAGTGATCAACACGCCCTGCCACTTCACTCCCCATCTCTAAGCTATGAGTCAATGTATTCCAGTCCTGTAGCATCATCTTACATTTGACGGGAGCAAATTGTACGCCAAACATTCGAAGATTGCAAATCAAGGTGTTCAGAAGACTCTGCATTTTGTTAGCATCTTCACCTAGAAAGACTATATCATCCGCATATTCTAAGTCAACGAAATTATTCCCTGATGGTAACAAGTCAATCCCTGAGTCGCTGAATTCAGTTAGGGTGAAGTCAATTAGTGCATCTGTGAAGAAATTAAACAGAAATGAAAACTCTCCGTAAGCTCTCACCCAGCTGCATGAATTTGAGAAGAGTGCCTTCATCAGTCCAATATACTTACTCAACATTCCCTTCACAGATTTGATAGTGTGGAAAATTCCCATATTATGAATTAAAAGTCAATCTGAACGAAGAATATTCTTTTCAATAATTTCTCTTCAGGTTCTTACAATTATAAAATATAATATTTGTTGTCGTTACAATAAAGGCCAGTTATGCGGCAGATACATTTTTAACGTAGAATAACAGATTAGTTATGGGGTGTCAAAATAAATAGTCGTATTTGTGTGACAAACGTGCTAGGCTGAATTCGATTACAAAATATTGTAAAACGGGAGACAGTGGTGATTAATCATAATAGATTTGTAGAGTGTGGGGTAGGAAAATTGACAAGTCAGTTCAAGGTTATAAAAGGTGTCAGGTGAGTGGCTAGTACAAAGTGGTCTGTGTTAAACAGGAGATAGTAAGACTGCAATGGGAGGTTCATAATGAGATAACGAATATGTGAAATGAAACAGGTGGAGGCATATATTGAGAAAAGAGATAATATCACTAATAATAAGTCCGGATAGTATAAACGAAAAATTCGATAGTATTGAGAGAATGTTTGCATGAAGGGCATAAATTATGACGAATAATAATATTTGTAATAATAAGCAAAGGAAAAAAAGCCAAGAGGGTTAAGGGGAAGGAGCACTCTTGGTGAGAAGAAGAATCATCAATCCAAGTTTGGCCACGGTAGGAACAGCGTCTGGACGTGTTCTTTTTGGATACAAAGTTCCGGTTTAGTCGATCTTATTGCAACAGCTTCAGCTATGTGTAGAAGACGTAAGCGAACTGTACGTGATAACGACTTCGGAATTCGGTATATAACCCTGAAAGCTGTGTTGACATCGATATGATGTCCAGTATCGACCAAGTGTGACAGGATCGAGCTTTTTATGCACTTAATTTCCCCCCTGCTGAACCAAGCTGGTAAATGTTCTCGAACCCGTAGACGAACCTGCCTAATCGTGCGCCCTATATAACTTGAACCACAGGAACAGTTGAAATGGTATATGCATGAAGAAGAGCTAAGCTTAGGTAAGACATCTTTGAGTTGCTGGGTGAACATTGGACGGCTACTGAAGGATAGACACAGACGTGCAGAGTAGAAAGTTTTCTTGATCGCCCTGGTTAAACGTTGCGATAGAATCTCCACAGGAGTATCTCCCTTGAATTGGAGACGTAAAAACAGAGGCTTTTTCTCCACCGTTGCCAGTTCATGTTTACGACTATTGTAACCTATGTTGGCTTTAATGAACTTCTCTGGATATCCGTTCTCGCTTAGAATGTCTCGGATGACCTGGAGTTCTTTCTCTACACAGTCTTCGGAACAAATAGACCTCGCTCTAAATGCTAAGCATCTGATCAGATTACGTTTGTATTTCATCGGTACAAAGCTAAGGAAGTGTGTATACTGAGCTTTGGTCTCTAGCTTTCTAAATATGGTTCTTTTGACGGAACCATCCTCTCTTCTCGTTAGTAGGACGTCGAGGAAGTGTAGAGAGTCGTTGCATTCTCCTTCGTAGGTGAAATGGACCGCTGGGTGAGCATTATTGAAGTTGCTCAGAATCAAATCACTACTTAACCCTTCATCGTACACTACAAAAGTGTCATCCATGTAACGACAATACATTTCCATATTTGCTATTTCCTCTTTCAACGGACTATTTTCCAGTTTTGCTAGAAATATATTCGCGAAAATAGGTCCCAGTGGGGATCCCATGGCTACTCCATCAACCTGTCTGTATATTTCATTATTAAACAAGAACTGAACATTTGCTGTACATTTAACAAGTAGTTGTTTCAGATTACTAATCGGAATATCAGTGCACAATTTCTTTTCTATAATCTGTTCGCAGATATAATCGATGGTTTCCACTAGAGGCACATTAGTGAATAGAGATGAAACATCAAGTGATGCCATGTATTTGCCAGTTGCGTTCAAGTTTTTGATCTTATCAATAAATTGAAAGGTATCCTTGACGCTATGCTTTACTAACTCATCATGCAAGGGTTGAAGTAGCTGTACCAGCCACTTCGCCGTCTCGTGATAGGGTGAGTGAGACATGTCTAGTATGGGGCGTAGGGGTACTCCTGATTTATGCACTTTCGGTAGACCATACATGCGTGAGATGGTGCTCCCTGTGGGTTTTATGTTTTCGAAAGTTTTTGGTGATATATACCCCTTACTCTTCAAATCCTTTAATAAGTTTGTTATTTCTCTTTCTACTTTCTCCGTATGATCTTTCATTGCTTTCGGCTTCTGAAACTTGCTGCCGTCAGCTAGTATGGAGTTCATCTTGTTGATGTAGTCCTGCCTATCCATAATGACTATCCCCGGTCCCTTATCCGGTCTGGTAATAACTATGTTTTCATTTCGTCTTAGTCTTTTAACAGCTTCTCGATGCGCTTTTGTGAGTATACTATGGGGCTTATTCTTATCCTTCTGTCTATACTGATAGCAACAGTCTACCAGGATTGATTTGAATCTTTCTAGGTCCTCATCAGAGGAGGCTACCAAGTCCCCTGTTTGTATATAGAAGTTCTCGAACTGTACATCGGTGTCAATCTGACTAATCTCCGTACGAAAATCGCAAAACTTAGGTCCTAGAGATAGCGCTTCAAGTTGTAGTTAGTCAAGAGTCACGCTAGAAAAGTTATGCACGCACCTTTCGGG